ACAGCCTCAGGGTGGTTAGAAGGAAGAGATTTATCATATAAAGATGTAGAATGAGAAAGATGAAAATGAGTGATCTTGGTTATTCTATTTATTAAATATTTTTAATACTAGCCTTTTGCAAGTGCATTTTATAAGGTTTTTAACTTATTGTTCTGCATTTACTAGATTTACCAACTGTTGAAGAATTGATGAAACCTATTAAAGGAGATTCCTATGATGCCAGAGGTTTCAGTTTGGAGCCTGGAAGGTACTTATCTCAGAATATGTATTTTAAGGATTGTAATAACTTAAGTCCTGCTTTGCTGTTGTGTCCAGAGCATGGCATGCAGGTCGTGGAACTGTTGGGAACAGGTTATGCTCTGCAGATGAGCTTTGGGAGTTGAATGTGTGGTTGCACCCAGCAGAAGTTCCCATTCATTGTTTCACTAGCGTTAATTCTGTGCTTGGTTTTGTTCAGTACCACAAAAGCAGTTGCTTCTGCTTTATGGGAGTGTATCTTTAGCCTAGTCTTTTTTGCTTTTTAACTGGATCAGGTGGAGTATTATTCTTAAAAGTAGCTAGAATCTCATTCAGATTCAAGCAGTCTCTACCGATCATACCTAAGGGGAAAATCGCCCTATTTTTCTGAAGCAACAGAAGTGCAAAACACAAGAGTTTTGTTTTATGTGACTTTATTCCTTTCTGTCATAGCCCTGTGGAACTGACAGGCAGCCCAGCAAAGGAGCTCATCGGCCACGAGCCATTCAAGGAGCATGAGAGTAACACAGTTTGGGAGACAAACTTGCTCGAAAAGTTCAGCAGAGAAGAGAGCCTCTCTCCTCGGAGAGCTGTGAATGGGGGTAACCTTTGCGGGGAGACGGAGAAGGAAGCCGAGATGGATGAAACACAGCCTGGCTCAGTGAAGGAAAAGATGGCACACGACTCTCTGCTTTCACAGCTGGTCAGCAAAAATAACCAGGTCATATCAAACAGCTCTTAAATATTGATTTTTGAATCACCTGTAACTTGAAGATTACTGTCGTACGCTTAGGAGTCAAGAAGCAGCTTGTATTTTTCTTGAAACGCTCAAGTTACCTTTGCTGCTGTTAGTGCAATTTGGGGCTTTCCAGCCCAGTGCATTGGAGTCTGCTGCAGCCCTGTGTGCCCAGCTCCAGCATCCCCATCCCAGGGGCCTTGTACAGACACCCTGAGGGCAGGGGCCTTCCCTCGTGTGAATGTGCAGAGGTGCAGGCTGGAGAGCCCCCCCATGCCAAGGATAGACCCCGATGGAATTGGCAAGGATAGAGAGGATAGGCTGCAGCGATCAAGGGAAGGGCCCAGACTCCCCAGGGCATCTGAACAAGTGGTTCGTGTTGGTTTATATTAGGCACACTCCTGGAATATGAAAGGATATGAAGTTACCAAAATATTCTCATATTTTTTTTCTGCTCTTATTGTTGTGTTACCCTAGTAACTGGCTCTGTGTTCTGTTGTAGAAGCGAAGGTTACCCTTTCCAAGCAAAGGCCACACCAAAAACTGAAGTCTGGTTTCTAAAAAGTATGCTCTGTTACAGGCACTGCAGTCTCCGTCCTCGAAGGGCGAAGGACTGGGATCAGTGACAACTAAACAAACGTACAAGAGCATCAGAAGTACAACACCCCTACATAAAAAGAAGCCATCGCACAGTCCTCGTGGATTGGTTAGGAGTTCGGGATATGGGAAGTCAGCTTCACTTTCCAAACAGCCTTCCCCATCTAGCGAAAAGAAAACACTGAAAGAAACTTTCAAGAAGTCCAGCCTGAAAGCCAAAAGCCCAGCAGATAAAGCAGGACCTAAAGGTAATTCTCTCTTCAAATGGACTCGTGGGGAAAAACAAAATCACCATCTCATTGTTTCTATTTCAGTATCCTTATATGAGAAAACTAAACTATAAACAGTTAACATATATGTTAGTTGCTCTCTAGGGTGAACTTCCCTGTTTGAGTTTTTCCTTGTTGTTTCTTTTTTGTTTTTTAAAAACCTGCTCAGGTTGCTGCTTGCTGCCCCAAGGAGGCATAGGTGTTCCCAAGCAGGTGTTCCATCTCTTCATATGCCATCTCCATTCCAAAGTCCCCTCCATAAATTGCTGTGTCTGATCTTCAGCAGGGCTTGGAATATGTGTATCTGTGTATACTTAGATAGCTGGCCAGACAACTGACTAATCTTGTTTCATGAAGGATTTATTATCCAGCTATTCACAGTCCTGGTCTGTTTTCTAGTTGCATTCTCAAGGGATCACAGGGATGGGTCAGGAGAATATATTTTAAAGAACATTATAATGAGTAAAGTGTTGAATGTAATTTTGTTCTATTTTTCTTCATGTCTGAATGAGGAAGGCTTATTTGCTACTAGTATTATCAGGTCTGCGCCCAAGGAGGGGGTTAACCAAGTTACACCTGACGACTCGGCTGTTGGTGATGGTGTGCAGCAGGTCGTGGACTCTCACAGCCAGTATCAGCATGTGAGTAAGTTAGTGCTGCTGCTAGTTATAGTCCCTATAGCTTGATTTGCAAGCCTGTTTTGTCATATTCTTTTAATAATTATGTAATAATCACAAGATTGGTAAATGCTGAAATATTGAATACAAAATCTAGTGAAATACTGATTTTTGCTTTTACATGTGCCAGTATAAATGTACTGCTTTCAGTTGCTTGGCTAGTTCTCTTATGTTTAACTTCTTAAAACTTATTATCTCGCTGGAGGGGGATATAATTTTAAATGAAACTGGTAAGTATAAGTATTCTGTCAAGAATATTAACTAGTAGTTCTGTTTGGTTTTGTGCTTCTGTTGCATTGAACGTTTAAAAAAAAAAAAAAAACCTGTGAGTTTTCTCAGCTGACTGAATTTGTAGTCGCAGCTTTTCTTTCTGCCTTAGTATAAATAGAAAACCATTTATTTAATGAATCCCTTGATCATTGCTCTTTTCAGTGGGCAAAATGCATAGTAGATTAACCCTGGTAGCTGTTTAGTGGCTGTTGGCTCCCAGAGTGCTTTATTTCCTGTGTGCTTGGGGGTTTTATTCCCCCATACGTGTTTAGGAAATGGGAAAGTAGATCATTAGAGAAAATCATGAAAATGTTGAGGGTGGTTTTGTTTGGTGTTGGTTTGGTAGTGTATTTTTTTCCCCCTCAAGCACATTACGAAGAGTC